TATATATATATATATATATATATATATATATATATATACAAAACACTATAAACATGCATTCTGAAATAGAACTGGTTTGACACAATATATAGAATATAAACGTAACATGAAGACAGGTTTGTAATGAAGACGAAGAAACGGACTCAAAACAACGGACCTAATGTGGTCACCCACTCAAGTCCCTTGCATGTTTGGATGATAGTAATTCCTCGAATGTCAGCGGGACTATCAGCGACTCAACTAGGAATGTTACCAGTTCTGTCTATCATTTTGAATTCGAAAGTTCTTAAGATAAATAAAAGTACCTGACAAAAGTGTGTAAGGAACTTTGTAAAAAGAGGCTACAGTGGAATAAGATCGGATGAACCTGAGTTGTACAGAAGGCATAACCTTTGGGCACCACTCAGTGAAGTCGCATTGAGTGAGGAAATTTTCGGAGAAAATACGGTTATTGGTCATAAATTGTAAGGAAGGATGATGTTGACTTGTGGAAGGAACATAAACTTATTTGAAGAGATCCTTTGCACAGAGCTTGCTTAGTAACTAGTAATTTGAGCAGAATGTTTCTTCAAATCCCAAAAAAACGTGGGGACCTGGTTCGGAAGCCTGGCGACGCGGCAATAATTCCACTCATATTTCTCACAACTCTTTGAGCGTGATTAGCTGAAACCGAAAGCAGTTTAGGTTTGAGATCACAACGTGAGCTGAGGCCCATGGTAGCTAGCACCACCAGCCCACACTGTCACAGAGGTTCGTCAGCGCGACCAGTGCACCTAACATTGATGACTTCAGTGAATGAACCTAATAAATACAGATTTGATACAGAAGGACAAACAAGAAATATATGAGGTGGTCGCACCAAGGTATTCCAAATGATGACGTACAGTAACAAATCAGGCCAGGATAGCACAATTAAGGGTTACTTAATGTTCTCAAACAGACCTACCGCAGCCAAAATTGAAAAAGAGGTTACAGACAGGAAAGTACTTGGATTCACTCGATATGAATAGGTACTGCTTGTTGACAGACCAGTATTCCGTTCTCCAAGATCTCTGAAAGGCCATTCTAGGGTGCGTGTGCAGTTACGGAAACGAAAGATTTTGTTGTCCTGACTCGAAGTCACTGACCGCTATGTCGCAGTAGCGTTGACTAGACAGTTCTGCTAACGCCATCAAAGAGTAAATTCGGAAGTGTTGGGGAAGTTTCCTCCGCTATTATATATCTCCCTGCAGCATCACCTAGCATACTGTGTACAGTTTGGTCTATGTCTAATGGGAAGGATTTAAACTATGCATAACTGGTTCAGAGAGTCCAAGTTTAGAGTATAGTAGGGATGAGATGATGGTATCAGCCGGGGAAGCTGAAAGTACTGTATTTCAACTTCATGGATAAAACATTTTCAGGGAGCACCGAATGCATATATATCGGTTGCTGGCATCTATAGGACAAGCCGTGACTATTTTTTGTTCTTCAAGAAGGCAGTGGTTCATCACCAAATGGACAGCCAAAATAACTTTAGTGGCTGTTTTTTCTCCCAGCAGGTGTAAAGGGCAAGTCCCTGCCTCAAGTAGTCAATACAGACTGAACGTACATTAAGAAAAGCGGATGGATGCGGTGGATGCGATTAAATTTCAAAACCTAGCGTGGATAAGATACACTTATCCTTGAGAGTTTGGATATCCAACCCTACTGAAAAATTCGCAACCTACTATTTCAGCGGTAAATTCCGATAGAGATTCAAAGTTCTCCAGTCTGATTTTTAATTACATTTAGTTTTGTGTTCTTCAGAGATATTGCTTGAAGTAAGTTTTAGTTTAGTCTTGAGAATCTTCGTGGTGTAAGAATCAAAACCTGTCTTTGGATATATATACCGCGAATTTTGAACAAGATTTCAGTTTTGTTTATGGCAGGGATTTTGTTGAAATCTGGTTTGCATAGCTGACCCCTCACAAGCAATGCGGCAGAGAACCGACCAAAACATCTAATGTTGAAATAGGCTGTCTGCCTTTTTCGAAGTTTTAGACAACAAGCAATCAAGAACTACGTAGCCACTAGGATGGGCAGCCTTCACGTCCTTCAGCGCACGACGACACTGTACTTTCATAACATCTGTTAACTGCGTGCCATAGACAGCACAACGACTGAGCAATGACGCATCACCGTCATACAGAAGAGACAAACGGAACGCGAAATATAACTCTGCCTAGTGACACCATTTTAAAGGAAACGTACCGAGGGGTAAGCCAAAAGCGCAGGCTGAAAGGGTATGAAGAACGCTAATGACATGGACTGAAAAATGGAGCTTTACTTCCATAAAAAAGTGATCTGATGGGATCACATCTTGAGAACGAAGGACCTGGTGCGATGAAGAGAAATCTCAAGATAAAGACATACATGGGTCAACCGGTGGCGTTCAGAGAAATAGGAAGTCGATTGGTAAAAATGGGATGACGTATTAGGAGAGGCAAAAAGGTCAGTTGGTTGCAGTATCCCAGAGCAAGCCGATCATTGAGCGATGAAAAATAGAATCGAAACCTGCAAGCCCCAAATTAGTGTCATAGGGAACTCAAGCCAAAGAGAACACCCACTGTAACGATGCAAAGACACTACTCAGAATGCAGGGAGTCGCTCATGGGCATCCGTGCGACACTTGCAGAATATTCCATAGGAAGTTGATTATTGGTTAGAGGTCTGACGAACACAGTCTATTGGTTTTCCAGGTTGTAGGTTGGAACATGTGTGGCGACTTGGGCCTTCAAAATATGGGCTGATCTGATTGTCTAATGCCAGCTGCTGTTACTTTGCGGTTTGGCTCTTAAAGGAAACGCTTTCATTGTGGACCGTAGTTGTCTCCCTGTCTAGGTCTGAATGCTTTGTCAGTATCCTTGCTTAAGTACATCCATGAATTACACTCATACATCGACCAGGTGGTGGTGTTACCATCCGAGTCAAAAAGTTTCTGCCGCTGTTTCCCACTTCTTTCTCTTTCACATGATTTTTCTTCTCTCGCCTTGGCCGCACTAGCAACACTTCTAGTAGATCTATCTTCTAGGGGTGACGACCCAATTTGTCTTGTAGCTTTCTTGCTCACGACATCCTAGGATGAACTTGGTCAGCCTCAGTTATCTCAAAATCAATCTGTAGGCATCAAATAACTTCCTTATTGTTCATATTCTGAAGCAAGCTGCTCTTGCTCTGTTGCTTGCTGTGTGTCAGAAACAAAAAGTCAAGACCCAGGCCCAGCCACTGAGCCAACAATCTCCGTTTTATTCTAACTATGCATATCTGGCGACCCAGAGGCTGCTGCGGCAGAGCGTTCAGGGGTCCGTATCGTCAGAATTCAAGGGGTGAATGTCCGCTAGTGAACGCTTTCGTGGGTGTGTTAGGCAAGTTCGTGAAGAAATCTCACAAGCTAAAAGTTGATTGTTATCCTTTCATCGTGTTTGCCTGCATCTCAGAAAACTGCGGCTGTGAAAACGACAACAGAACTTCTTGTGACACTGTGAATGTCTCACGGTGGCCCAACTGCTCAGGTCTCGTTATGGTTGCCGGAGATTTCAGTGCACTGGTAGGCAAAATAAACGCATCCGAGATTCAATAGGTTGGCATACTTGGATTGGGCTTGGCAGGCATAAAAACGAAAAACGGTCGGCCTAACACTTTAATGGCCGCAGACTGTCTTGTGCGGTACTGGCGTTCAGAAAAAACAAATTTACCTGACCAGGTCGCCTCCTCAAACAGAGTGCCGGCCATGAACTCTGACTGATCATATCGTCATCAGTTAAAGACGGCGCGGATCAGGACTAAATCTTCACAGTCTTCCAGGCGCTAGAATGACGCCATATTTATAGACGACCACAGTTTCAGTAGTCCTGGGCTTTCGAGGTTCACTGGGCTCAGCTAGTCAGTCTGTTTTCGTCAGCAAGTTTGCCAAACAGGGAACGGTCCGGAACTCTGTGAAAATAAGTTTTTCGTATTCTTGCACTTCCGGAGTCATGTGTGAGCAAATGGAACACTTGTCCATTAAAGATGCCTAATTCCTCGATTCTTATTCAGCTTATTAATAAACAGGATAATTATAGAGACACTGAAGAATCTTCGGGAAATTTGCAAATAGAAAATTGAAAATAGGTGTTTGTAAAACAAGGACATCATCATCGACTGACATCAGTTATTAATAAACAGGATAATTATAGAGACACTGAAGAATCTTCGGGAAATTTGCAAATAGAAAATTGAAAATAGGTGTTTGTAAAACAAGGACATCATCATCGACAACATGACATCAGTGTTCGACAAATGTTTCGTTGCCGTACGTCGAAGAATATATCCAGCTTCGGTGGTTAACTCGTGTACTTCACATGTCAACTCATTTTTTTTAAAGCCAAAGTTGAGTTCTGTGGTAATTTGAAGCAATGAAGGCCTAGCGGTCGTCACTATTTGACCCGGAAGTGGAATATCAAATGCATTACGAAATGGCGGCACTATTTATGCGGTTTGCATTGATGTGTAAGATACACGAAATATTCCTGTACGTTGTTAGAGACGCAGCAAGTTGCTACTCAGTGCCACTGGCAATCTAGTTATCAATTTTAATCCGAAGTCTCTAAGTGAGTGTTTGGGAGTGCACATACCTCACAATAATTCTGATAAGTTGGCAATAAACCCAGTAACTTCCACCTTTATTCTTTTCTTATTTTTCAAAATAGGGCTTTTAATTGAATTATGGTCGTACGGCAAAAAACGGGGATGTCAGGTACCTAATTTTGTGCTACCAATAACGACGGTGCCAGTCAAACGCAAAAAACAAACTGGGAGTTAAGGTTTCCTTAGCTAAGCGAGTTAAGTGACCAGGATTTTAGCTGGAACCTATTTCCTTTTGATCACATCCATAAGTGTTTTGGTATTGTCTCTTTTCAAACTACCCCTGATTATTGCGCAAACTTGTTAAGGAACCCACCCTCAGAATCCATCTGACCGTCTATAGCACACATCTGACTTCATACTATTCCAGCACTATTGGACGTCTGACTCTTAACCAGAGTCAGTATAAGCGCCTACTACATGTTTTGTGTTCTTCGATGCAACGCCCCACTATTATTGACCACAGAGTACCTCACCAGAACTTCTGAGAACGGCAGCAAATAAATAGTATTAAATAAGCTATCCCATGGTGCTCAAAACCTGAGAGTATGTGGACTTTCCCGTGCTCCAAAATGAATAGACTCAAAAATACTTCCGTTTTACTCTCCAGGAGGGCTGTTTCTTTAAAGAACATTTGAGTCAGTTGAAAACGACATCTGTAACGAACAGCAAAAGAATATTCTGAATCAAACTTAAATCAATGCATTTTCCACCCAGAAAAAATCGTTCAGCCGCAGCAACCTTTTGGTGCCTAACTGCCATGCCACTCAAAAGAAAGCACGCGGGCTATGATACTGCTAGGTTGCCCAAGCCTACAGAGGGAGTCAGGGGGCAGAGTCTGAGCCTATCCACTGAGCTTTCTTGCTCCCTTACCTACAAACAAAGTGAATAAAGCCTTTTTTTACCCTACCCTAACGGTATGAACGGCAGAACGGCCACAAAAGTGCTTACTTTACCTAACCAAGATATTAAAACTCTGCGTTTGTCTTGTACGTCAACGTGAAAGTCTTTGTATTCCACAAAGGTAAGGCGCTTCGGAGGGTTTCATTAGTATGGTTTATTCTGAAAGCATGGAGAACTGGCGTAATTACAAAGGTGCTTTTTTGAATTGCTGATGCCCTCAAAATTCGAATCTTTCGACCGAACGGTAACTAACTTATTTTATGATAGGTTGTGTTTGTAGGGCTCTGTCCCCAACCTGATAGTTTTTCCTTTCCTCGCCAGTGGCTTTTTGAAAACAACTGGAAGCGACCATTCCATCTCTACCAACATACTTAGGCTGTAATCGACGGTATAAAAACCTGAATCTCCCGGGTTGTAAGTGACCTGCTGCATAACTGGTCTTGCAGTCAGCAACTGCCCATAAGTCACAGTGCTCACTTCTCACTAGAGTTTTGAAACACCGGGTATCATACACAGTGAAGTGTTTCTGATCAAGATTGCCATTTGAAGTGAGAGACCTGCTGCTGTTGCGGTTCTTGCCCCCAAACAATGTAGAATCCAGTATAGGTCACTGTTTCGTACAGGGTGATCTGTGCTACAAAACGTTTTATCCTAAATGACCTTCGGCCTTTTCCTACTATGGCTTACCAATCACGCGTGCTGAATTCTTGTACATGGCTTACCGGCCGTCCATCCTCCTACAAAGAGGAGGTTTAAAAACATGGTTCAAAATCCGACCCTCTACTTCGGGATTGATCTCATCCCACTCAGAAACAACAGATAGCCCAGATCTATCTACACTATCGACATGGTTTTGGAGAGCTTGATTCCCGCCAGATGCATCCTAAGGCAAGAAATGGTAATGCACACTCAACCCCAATTCTAATTTAACGAGATCACAGTTGGAAGCTGTTCAAAACAAAAAGGCTCCGAACCCTACCCGATATGGCGTCGTTCACTCAGGTGGTGAATGATTGAAGCAACACATCTGAGCCTGATGTAAGTAAACAATCGGACAAGTGTTTCCAGTGGATTGAAAATTCTCAAATTTGAGTAATTTTGAGTCATGCTATTTTTGCTAGAAATAAAATGGTCTTATGTAGTATGCCCTTAAGAAACGGAAGAACAATCCCTGAAACAAAGAAAGATAAGACTAAACCAGTTCGCAGTCAATTGAGAGAAGCAACTAGAGGGCCGTAGCACCAAAATGCATTTAAAATAAGACCGGATGGGAACACCGTTGATGGTACTCTGCTTCCGAAGTTGAACAACAACTTTTACAATAAAAACGGACTACCACAGAGGTCACTTGCCTACAACTTGGATCGCAAGAGAGCTCCAAATCCTTGGGCCGTATGTACACTTCCATATACCTGCGTCAGTCCTTTCCGTGGCTGTAATTACAAAGTTGAAGGAATTTTTCTCCTTTATACAGTTATATCGACTATGGTTTTTAAAGAAGCGACAGTTTTCCGCCAGTTCTTCGCCGTCTTTCTTCCATATCACAGCAAATATCTGATCGTCCACAGTGCATGACAATTGCAAATAATTCCCTTCAATTACTTTCTCAGAAGGATTTGCCCACAAAGCAATTTTCTCTGAATTTGTCCCGGAAAGGGAGATTGAGGTACATGTGAAGAAGCATAGTAGATAAATCCGACAATTTCGCTCGAAGTCTATCATCTGTTGCACGAAAATAACGTAAGAGTTCGCATTAGTGGCTGGTTCAAGGTCATATAAGACAATTATTTCTGTTCATAAATTCTTTGTCTTTTGTATTGGAACGGAGAGCATGTTGGGTAAGGTGTTCGAATGCTAAGGTGATGTGGAAGGATATTTCCTTCTCCAGATTGTTTGAGGAGCGACATTTCTGAGGTAATCAGATCAGCGATCTCCGTTCCTCCCTAATGCCGACGTAGTCAATACGGTGGTGTTTTGCAGCTAGTTGTAGTTACGGTGAGTGCACACTAGCAATACAAGACTTCCCTCGAGGGACCAGCAGAATTTCTGTTCTTCAGCAGCAAAATAATGACAACCTCATCTGTGATGCCATATTGGCTGGGGAATGTGAAAACCAGGGTCGAATAACACTGGCGTATCCAGAATTTTGTAGGGAGTGGCATTGTCACCACCTTACCGATGTGGCTTCACCGAAGAAGATGAATTGCGGACCGAGGACGTAGCTGAACTTATTTTTGGGCATTTGGAATCTCCTAGCGTGGCTAAGGAGTAACCAGGATCGGGTGCTGACTGAGGGCGATTGGACGAAGAAATGTCGTCTTCATCCCGTGACGCTGGTGAGCGGTAGATGACACCCACAATCAACCAATATTTCTATTTTTCGGGTAAAGAAGACAAGGTTTAAAGGCAAAGCCCGGACATTGGGAATGGGAAGTAGGCCAGTTATCTTCCCCTTAGTAGACAGAAATGCGGAGCTCACCAAAACACTATGAAGGCCTGCAACATGCCCATCGACCTCATCACACTCTATCTTGGCAAATCGCAACCACAAAAGGCCTCCAAATAATTCAGTATTCACGGAAGTGTATGTTTCCCATCTCTTGCACAAGTCAAACCCCTTCAGCGCGTTGGTGCCAGACTTGGTCCACCAAAGGATCCCAAAGGAAGCCTCGATCACATTTGAAAATCATTTCTACCAGAGGTTTTGTCAGCCGCTCAATGAAGACAATCTTTCCTCTGCTTGCAAGGAAGCGGTTGTCACACCAATCTAAAAAAAACTGTGACCATTCACTGCCAGGCAGCTGCAGGCCTATTGGCTTCACCAGGATACCGTGCAAGTGATGGAGCACATTCTGAGGAGAGCCATCTGCATTCATCTCAGTAGCAGCAACTTGATATCCCCAGCGAAACATGGACTCCTCTCAAATTGTTCTTGCGTGACGAACATGCTAGTATTTATGGACAGCTTAAGCCAAGCCAAGGAAGAAAGGCTGATATCAGGTGTCACATCTTAGGACTTGGCAGATTCATTCGATCCAAGCTCACATTCTTCTGCTCCAAAAGTTGAGGTCTGATGAGATTCAAGGATAAATCCCGCGCTGCATCAGGACGTTCCTATCGGGGAGAACTTTTTAAGTGAAATCACTTCCTGACTACTCTCTTTCAGCACCGTTCGTCATTTGAGTACTTCTGGGCTCCGCTTTGGGACTATTCCGGTTTCCATCCACGTCAGCGATTCTTCAGATATGCTCTCAAATTCATGTTTAGGTTTTGAGGACTGCTCAAAATCCTTGAGCTCCCACACTAGCACCCCCAAAATGAATGCAGACGATACACAGCACTGGTCGTTAGGTTGGCACCTTCCTGTGAATATTGAGGAGTGAGTCCATACATCGCTTGGAGAAAACTCGGCAGAACGCCTATGTCGTGCATGGTGGGAACGGATGATAAGAAATTACAAAAACACATACCAAGAACCATTAGGTATCTGGTTCTCTCGAAACATTTTCTTCTAACTTAATCGTATAAAATCTGCTCCAAAGCATTCGTTGTTTTGCGGACGCCTCGGCGAACTTTCCCCTGTATCGCCCGCACGTACCTCTAGATACTCTACTGGAACTACTCCAGACCGCCTCATTTTTATGCCAACCAAGTTGTGCACCCAGAGCATAATTATAATTGAGACCATCCAACTAGCTGCTACGAAAATGGCCGCCGGCCTCAAATCCATCGAGTGTAAAACGCCCCTCGGTAGTTCGACCAGTTCCTCCGAGGAGACCTAATACGTACGTGTGCCCCATTTGAACTAGGTTTGGCCAGCTTGAACACAACAGAGGCGTGGTAGGAGAATTTTCAAGCTCAGAGCGCACACTGTTATTGGGAAACAATTCGCCTGATTTCGGCCCGTTGGTGCGTAAAATGACCTTCCCTCGTCGTCGTTTACGATGGATCCAGTGCCCGGTTCAGAGAACGTTTAGGGACTTTTATGTAAGTCCCCACGCAGGCAAGCTTACTGACCACTTGAAGGTGGATCCAGTGCCCGGTTCAGAGAACGTTTAGGGACTTTTATGTAAGTCCCCACGCAGGCAAGCTTACTGCCTCACTTGAAGGACTTAGAGGGGATGTCATACCATTTTTTGCTTCTGCTTATCAGGCGAACGAAAGCAGCTGAACGACGAAACCAAAGCTAGCTCGAGGTTCTAAGGCGAATGCCTCGACTCTGTGTAACATTCCGTGAATCCATGAGGAGCGGGAGGCTAGGTCTAGATGAGCACCCCACCACTTTGGTCAGCTGGAGAGTAAGCAAGATGTGTTGCGCATCCGGGAGATACATCCTTATATCCAATTTCTGGAGGGAGACTGGTTGTTGTCATGGCGATGGAGTGCAGAGAACCCTGGAAAAACAAGGCCTCAGGTCGACCTTACCCCTGCTGTCACCGGCGCAGATGGTCAAGATACTTCAGATCTATTTGGGCCCTGTATTTAGTGCGGGTAGATGACATTGCTGGTGTGTAATGACGAATGATTGGGTCGTCAGCTGATCAAGTGATATTGGATGCTGAGGGTAAGTGGACAAACTAAGGGTATGGGAGACGGGGATCTGGACGATTGATAATAAGGATGAACGTAGAGAGTAGACGGACATTATTATGGTAATGGGTCTTCAAGCCAGACTGGTATTCGGAACTCAATTGTCCGTCTGTTTTAGTCACTCAGGACACGCCGTAGATTTTGAAAATTCAATCCCATTGTACCAATACTGAGAGCCTTCGTAAACCCGTGGCAATTTGCGAATCGGTGAGGGTCCATGACCTTGAAATTCTGCTCACTTAAACAAAATCCCATAAGCGGCATATCATCGATTAGACTAACTTCCTGTGGGTGGCAACTTTGGAAACCCTATGGTCTCAACGAAAAAAATGGTGTGCTGCTAGTGAGCGTCCTCCAGCAATCGTTTACGACTTTATTTTAAACCGTAACACTGCTGATCCACCGGATTCGTTGGGTTGGTTCCCCGTTTACTGCAGTTTGCACTCTTTTCATCAGGAATAAGGCAGGGTGCTTTAGTTTTGCCTCACTCTTGTGTTGTTCTTGCCCGCCACTTTCGAATCGTAGCGGTTTGATCTTTCTCCAGCTTGTTGTTTCCCCCCAAAGAAAACGAAACCCTGATAATCGTGTTTCCATGTCGTGGATGTCCACCGCATTGATGCCGTGCCAGTTTAGACATAATCCCATCTGTGCCGAATACTACCCACTATTAGTGTGAATGTCCCTGCAATCATGGGTACTGGAAAATCCCATCAATCTGCTTTTATTCGGAGCAGGTCGTGGCTGGTGCATACCGTCTACTAGCTGGGAATAACCCTTATTGTTATTGGAAACTGTGCCACAGATTGCAGTTATTTTGAAACATTGCTGGTGGTAAAGCTAGCAACCACCGGGAAATCCATACCCAGTTTCCCACTGAATGTCCCCTATAACATTACAGTGCACATTCTCTCCGGTATACCAGTCCAGAGGTTCACTGTTATAGGTTTCAGCCAGATGAAGCTATTCAAGACAGGTGCCTGGTTCTCAAAAGCTTACTTTGTCCTCGTGTTGTGCCTCATCAACGACAGCAAAATATCTTCACGCGTCCGATGTTTTTCTCTGAAGCATCCGCTTAATGAACAGCGAAACCGCCACAATGGGTGGTATTTAAGCGGAAGCGGGTTTCGGCTGCTTAAAAGCCCAGAGCAATTTACATTCAGTCACCTTGGCTT